AGCCCCCAACAGAGATGGTGGGCAGGGTGCAAGTCCAAGGGTAAGGCCTAGACCTGGACCATACTCCAGATCAGCTAGATAACTCCAAGGAGAAGAAGGCTAGAACCAGGAGCTAGAGTAGGACACTGGCCACCTCTCCCTGCCCTCCAGGCCCTCCCACTTTGGGAAAGCTTGGGCAACCAAGGGGAGAGACCTTCATCATCAAATACAGCTGACCTCGGCCCACCACCATCTCTCTGGGCCTGAGTCAAAGAGGAGTGCTACTGTCTGCTCTATCCACTTCCCAGGGTGGAGCAAAGCCCAGTGAAAAATGGATGGTGAAGATGTTTAGAAAGTGAAAGTGTTCACCCTTGAGGAAAACAGTCATATTTTTAAGTTCATAAATTAACCCAGGCCTGAGTTGCTGCAAGGGTGGCCCTGGCTCTAGCTACACTCCCTGCCCTTCCTCCCAGGTGCATTAAGTAAGAATACCACAAGCAGCGCAGAGGTACAGGAAGAGGATGTCCTAGCCAAGCCATCAACTACAACACAAGGTCCCTTTGAGGTGTGAAGGTAGGAGGAGCCTAACTTTTTTTTCTTGAAAGAGAGGTAGTGGGAAAGAACTGCCACAGTCTCAAGGGAAAGGCAAGTCCAGGAGAGGGTGTTCACTCATCTCAGATGTCCTGCATCATCGGATAATGAGCTATTTCACCTCCATGAACTTTGAGATGACTGAAGATAATCTTTTAAGCACCAAGACTTAGATGAGTGTGCTTTGAGTGTTTGGGGATGGAAATAATTCTAAAGTGGATAAGGTGTCTCCTTGCCTTCTTAATGACAGTATACTGTTTTGTGTGTGGCTGAGGGTGTGGCTGTCAAAGGCTAAACTGAGCTGAAATGCTCTGCTGCCCTGGGGCGTGTTATAATATCCCTGCCCCTCCTCTCGGTGGCCTCAGATCATATGATAGTGCTGACACACATGGATTTGGTCCTTGTAATGCATTCACTATTAGACTATTAGCTGCCACTTCTTGCTATATCTAGCACCTGTTATCATTGTCTTCATATGCTTCATTACTAAAAAACCAGAACCAAGTTCACTAGAATTAAATTTAAAATTAAAGCAGAAGGCAAGAGGGAATTGTTGTTCACACATGGTCTGGCCTTTGATACACAGATTTACAGTATCTATTTCTGGGGCTCAAAACTCATTTTCCTTCCCCTGAGTCTTCAGTTACCTGGGGGCTGAGGGAACTTGCTGGTAAGTAGATCTGGGAAATGAAGTGTGCGATTTCCCTGTTTTAGTAAAATGGTAACGATTTTCTCTTTTAATAAGTTTTTCAAGATCTCTAGAGGTTCATGTGAACTTGCTGGCTGAATACTGCATTCTGAGCTGCCACGGGGTTGAAGCTCGCTCTGCCAGGGACATCTTCAGAACAAGGAATTTGCCTCTGGTTGGAGGGAGAAGAGATGAAAGCAGAAACCAGGTACTAACTAGCTGTTTCAACACAAGCTTTTTCAAAAGCAAGTAAGAAAAGGAAAAGCATAGTGAAGTAGGGTCATAGCAGCCTTGGCCACTGTGTATGTTCCTTCATTTTCACCTTCAGGTGGGTTTTGCATGGGTTTGCAGGGTGCATTTTGCTTTCAGCCAGGTGAGCAGGTAAATCCTCCCTGCGCTAGCATGTGCAGTGGGGGACTCATATCCTACCCCAGGACTAGCCACCAAGTGACCTTCACCTGGGTTCTAAGTGCCAGAGTTACCCACCTCTTAGTTCTGATCACCAATGTATCCTAGTTCTAGACACAGGTGGATACAAAATTCCAGCACACTCTGAGGTTCCTAACACTAGGAGAAGTCTGTTACCTTGCTTTAGAAATGTTTTATATTGGGGCTGGGGATTTAGCTCAGCGGCAAAGCACCTGCCTGGCAAGCGCAAGGTCGTGAGTTCGGTTCCCGGTACCAGAGAAAAACCAAAAAAAAAAAAAAAAAAGAAATGTTTTATAATGTTTATTTCAACATTTAAACTGTTCAGAAGAAGGCCCAAATCAGATTTTGAGGGAGGGTGTCCCAACCAAGAAACAGAATGCAGCAGAACAGGATCAATGTAGTTAAAAGATCACCCAGGGCATGGGTCCTCATGATGTAGTGAATGGGCCAATGTCACCATGTCACGGGAACTTGCTAGACAGGCCTTTTCAACCCCGAAACTCCAACAGGGCCCAGAACTAATGAGCTCAGGGTTGAGAACACAAATTCGAGAGGAGCTAGAACTTGTACATCAAAGCTAAGCAGCTCATTGTGTTGAAGGAATTGAGGGAGTTCATTGCCAAGGGGACCATCTTTGAAATAGAAGGAGACAGTCACTGATTTCTGGCTTTTGTGGCAAAAGCTAAAGCACAGTAATGACTATTTTTCTCCCCTTTTCTTTGAAAAAAAATTTTTTAAGTTCCACAGTAGAAATTATGCGGGAAAGCATTATCCAAAGACTTTTAACAGATTCACAAGACTGCTATCACGCGGGGCATCAGCTGGCTAGGATAGCTGAGCCCTCTGGCAAAGAAAGGCAGTCGGCCTTGGCAAATTGAAAGCCCAGAACAATGGCTCAAAATAAAACAAAAATCAGAATTCTGCTAGAGGAGCACTGAAGACAGTTGTCACTGAGAGCAGCTTGTACCTTACTGATTCTTTACACTTAGGAAGTGTCATATATTAAGTGAAATAAGCCTGCCCAAAAATATTGCACGATTCCACTTACACAAGTGACCTACAGCAGAAAAAGTCATAGAGATGGAAAGAGGAGTGGTTGCCAGCTTGTGGAGGGAGAGGAAATGTGTCCTCATTCATGGGTTCAGGTTTTTAAGTTTGCAAAATGAGAGGTTTTCTAGAGATTTATTGCACAACAATGTAAATGTCCTCAACACTGCTAAACTTCACACCTCAAAATGTTTAAGATGGTAAATTTTATGTTATGTGGATTTCACCATAATTAATAATTTTTAAAAGAGACAGAAATCTTTGTTAGTGGTGAAGCAAAACAGAATTAGTAAATGTTATAGGTTGCTAGAGATTTGATTAGTGTTACTAGATTAATAGTAGGTTATATTTTATATTTATAGAAAACATAGAGTTGGGTTGTGTACCAAAATTCTTATTTTCATTCTTTTCCCACTCAAGACTCCAGTCTAGATTTCAAGCCAGATTTAGTCACTCAACCACAAACAGGTGTGCATACAAGGCTGAGCCAGGAATGTCACTCACACATGTCGACTGCCGGGCATCACCACTTTGCTGTAGATTCTGAGTCCATTGTCTTAACAAGCACCCAGATGACTCTAATGCAGGTGACCTAGGGTTTACCTTTGAGGAACACACTGCCTTATTAGGATGTCTTGTAGACTACTCAGCTTCCACGGCCTGGCCTTGTTTGAATAGACCTCCCAGGACGAGCAGAAGGTGCTGATCTTGCACCCTTAGCCTGGCCTCACCTAGTGCATGAGGCACAATCAGTCTCCTCTTCGAAGAACATTCTTGCTTCAGAGAGACAGGGAAGGGTGTATTGAACTCAAAGTAATACCACTATCCACTTCCCCCAAGAGAACAGCCTCACTCTCATGACCTTCCACTGAGCATTTAGAGCAGATATTCTTTAAAGCCCAGCTCATCTGTTTCCTACCCAAAAAATAAAGCATTTTCCTTTAGTTTTTGAGACACTATTTGTAGATGCTTTGTATACAGCAACCCCCTTGTACCTCAGCTGCAGAAATATGAGATCCTGATACATCTGTAAAGCTTAGAGGAAGGCAAGAAATGGAAAGAAACAAAACCAGAAAATGTCTCTTCTTTTGCTTGAGCTAGAGAAAGAGGACTGCTTAGCAAACAAGAAGCAGATGAATAAGATTATAGTGGGGAAAACTAAAATAAAAGCAGAGCAGGACCGGAGAGGCCCCCAGTACACAGACAGTTCAGCCCCAGGACCCCAAGCTTGCCAAGGAAGAGCAAGGTGATTCCCTGCCTTTTTAGAATGTACTAGGCAACAAACAAACAAAACCCTGGCTGCCCTCCATTGGCAATTTCCCCACAGTGTTTCTTGTTTATTAGTGGAGTCTCCCAAACTGCTGGAGCCCACTAGGAACCAGATATCTCATTACAGGAGTAAATGTGTGGCCCTGTGCCAGTGTCCGGGACACAAAGATGAACTACATACCAGGTCTCCCCTGAGGGAAAAGACAGACCTCCTACCAATGACAGAGGACCACTTAGGACACTTAGGCTGTGTGCTCAAAGGTTGCCAGTGATGGTCACAGCAGGAGCACAGAGAAAAGAGGGTCCAGCCGGGCCAGAGAGGGGAGGTAGGAAAGGCCATAACCTGACATATGTGAAAGTGGCCAGACAAGAGAAGGCACAAAGGGAGGAAAGGTGTGGAGCCATCCCAGGCATCAATTGAAGGGACAGTGCCTGGAGGGGTGGGAGGAAGCAGGCAAGAGGGTCTCAGAGAAAAGGATGGAGCCAAGTTGGGACACAGCTTGCAGGACTTGGTCAAGAGAATGGGTGGTGTGGTATAGGCAGACACTGGCCCCTCGAAAGGTACTTCAGATGGTAACTCTGAAAGCAGGAAGGTCAGGAAGGTCACTCAGAAGCGCCTGCATTAGTGCAGTGACAGAGGGGATGCAGGGAGGGCGTGAACTCAAGAGATATTTATAACTGAACTTGACTAAATTTGTTGAGCAAATAAACATAGAGGGTGAAAAGGGAAGAGATTGATCAGAGCAGAGAGAATATGTTCTGAACCTAGAGCTGGAACTGTGCTAGACAGTGTGCAACACTATTCCCTTTTTCTTTTACTTCTTTCTTTCTTTCTTTCTTTCTTTCTTTCTTTCTTTCTTTCTTTCTTTCTTTTACTTTCTTTTTTCTTCTTTCAATTGGGGATTGAACCCAGTACCTTTGCACTGAGCTACATCCCCACCCCTTTTTTATATTTTGAGACAGGGTCTCGCTAAGTTGCTAACTTGCACCACTTGGACTCAAACTTGCTCTCCTCCTGCCTCCGCCTCCCAGAGTGCTGGGGTGAGAGATCTAAGCCACCATGCCTGGCCATGCAACATTATTTAATTCAACCTTCACAACAGCTGGTGCAGTTGGAGTCCTGTCCTCATTTTTGAGATAATGAATCAGAGCCTCCACAAGCTTCGGGAGCTTCCCAAGGTCACAGAGCTGTTAAGCAATGGGAGGAGATGCTGAGTCCAAGTTGTTGTTTTAACTGCAGCAGTGGAGGGCAGACTGAGGTCTGAGCTGTGGAGCAGATGAAGATGCTCACAAGGCGCCAGTGGTCATGCCCCAGGTGCTAAGATGAAAGGGCAGCAGATGCTGGAAGCAGGCAGTAGATGGGGTTTCTGCAGGAGGCTCCCAGGAAGAGCAGAGAATCCTGAGGAAGCTTCACAGAAGAGTCACAAGGGAGCTGTAGAGAAGCATTTAGAGAGGCAGGGAAAGAACAGATTGGTTCACATAGAACAGAGACCTTCAAAAAGACCAGAGAGGACACCCCTGTCAAATGCTGCACAGCTGTTGAGGATGAGACCTGAGAATTCACCCCTGCCTTGGTAGTGACAATCTTTATGGTGCAAAACGTAGGATTTAGAACTGACTCTGCCTCCCCTTCCCCTCCTATCCCAGGCAACTGTCCCCAAGTGGGTACTTCACTGTACTGCGCACTGACGGTGCCAGTGTGTGTTTGGGGGATGCTTCATTTACCGCTACATCAACCTAAGCACCTGGAGCGCTGGGACTATGCTTCTGATCATCCCTTGTTCCCTGGCCCCTAGCACAATGCTTGGCACAAAATGAGCTCTGATCTGGACTGGGAACCAGCACTCTCCTCTCCTTTTGTTGTCAGAAAGTGTTGCCCCTGCCTCCTCCCCATACTTAGCAGAGTCCGGGGCCAGGATCCTCTCTGCTCTCTGCAGCACCGGGCAATTAATGGCAGAGTTGCCGCCACAGCATTGCTGAACCAGTCCCATAGGCTTGTCTGACCTTGAGCCACCTTCCTTCCTGCTTGGCTGAGCATCAAATCATCAGTGGTATTTTTCTGCCTTTTAAGCCTGGAGCTTGGTTTTAGCAGAAAGGAAGACATGATAGCTGTTTTGCTCATGGGGAATTGATTTCCCCTAAATAAGAATGTAACCGGCAGTCTGCACCTCACAGAGGGACAGTGACAGGGCTGCAGAGGAACATGGCAGAGGGCTTCCAGAATCAATGCCCAGATCTCTCTGAGCCTTCCAAAAAATATTTTTCCTACAAACATTGGCTATAGGAAAAAGTATGTGGCCTGAAAATCAGGCAACTGGGTGAGTCCCAGTTGAGCCTCTAGCTGGCCATGTGATCCTGAGCAACTCATGTTGCCATAATACATACCTTTTCTGGGCATCTCTTCCACCCAGAGATGTGAAGTTGGCCTCAGTTCCCCTCCAGGGCTCCTCTAAGTGGCTAGTACTGCTGCAGAGGGTAGAGCTGGGAGAGGGACCAAGAGCAGATGCTGTCTTCTGCACCCAGGACAGCTCTCTAGAGCATTTGTCCCTAGGCCAGGGCCTAGTACCACCCTATGGAGGCATCTCTGTTGGGATCCTCCTTGTTCTAGCCCTAGCAATACCAGCTGGGGAGCTAAGACTGACGTTTGGAGGTCAAGTTTTGGGGTTCTACAGACCTGAGTGCAGTGCTCTCCCTTGGCTGTCTGATCATGGACAAGTCTCTGAGTTGCCCTGAACCTCACCGCCTCACCTGTACCATGGAGCCTCCTGACCTGAGGGATCTTGTGATGCTGGGCGATGGTGCAGGAAAGTGCTCAGTGCAGGGCTGGGCACAGAACGAGAGCACAGTCAATCTTAGCTATTACAATAATAAATGGTAGCTATGGCTTTCATCCATACATCATGACTTTTAAAAATAAAGATTATAGAGACTCTGGAGATTTTTTTCTAAGCCTCTCCCTGTAGAGATGAGGAAATGGAGACCCTGAGAGAAAGAAGGAACTTGTTCTAGACCCACAGCACAATTACAGCCATATGTTAGGTATCCAACTCTCACCTGGGATGGATCTCAGTGCTCCTACAAGCGCCCTGGCTGGAACAAACTCCACCCCCAATACCCTCAGCTATGGGGATCCTGATGTCGGACTCACAAAAGCTCCTGCTCCAGCTCTGTCCACCCAAACCACACCTGTTCCCCAGAGGGCCTCTCGTAGAGGGCTCTGTCACACTCAACAGGCCCCAGGATGTGACTTGACCGGGTCTCTTCCCTAATCGATCCTATTTCCTTACATGGAATGTTTCACAGTTTCAAGAAACTGGGTTCAACTAACTGAACAGTGGCTAGTAATGTCAGTTAGCTGGAATCTTCCCCAAGAAAGCAGTTGTCATCCACTGTCCTGAGGAGTCTACCCCAGTTTCCCCTCTGTTTGGGCCTCCATGTCTCAGTGACTTCTGTTTTACAGACCAACAGACTGGGGCTCAGGGCAGCCTGGGACTCCTAGTCCAGAACAGAGCTCAAAACACTGGTGAAAGTCAGCACCCAGCACAGCCTGGGCATCAGCACCACCCACTTGCAACAAAGCTTGAAGAAGGAGGCCTGGCAGACAAAGGAGTCTGAGTGGGAGCCTGGAGGGCCACCCAGAGTTCTCCTGTCTCTCCCAGCTGGACCTGTGGCTTTGCCTGTAAAACTAGGTGTTCAGGTGGAGGTACTTGGCTCCCAGCGGTATTCTCACAGCTCCTACCTGGAGCTGCTGGCATGGCATGCAGAACTTCAGGGTGTATGTGATCTGTCTCCACCCGCAGAAGACAGAGCTAATGTCCTCATCATTATATCTCCCCAAGCTCAGCCATGGACCAGAGCAGAACAGGTTTCCCAGATGTGTTTTAGGGAAGGAGGAAGGGAAGAAGGGAGAGAGGAGGAAAGGTAGGGAGGGAGGGAGGGAGGGAGGGAGGAGGGAGAGAGAGCTGAAGTCTTCCAAGCAGTAACACTCTTCGGTTCCACAAAGCTAAGTTCAAAGACAATTCGCCAACAGTGTCTATGAGGCACAGTCACACTCAGGGTGGAAACACACAGGGGGAAACAAAGGGGAAGAATTTGATATGTGAATGACACATGGCCACTTTGCTTAGGCACAGTTGACTTCCAGAAGCCCAGCCTTAGGAGTCCCTGCATGTCAAGGTGCTAGGCGTGCACTGCAGGGTCTTGCCTTCCCAGGAGAAGCCTCAAGGATGCTGGTGTCAGAGGCCCCACTGGCTTCCGTGTGCCGAGTCCATATATGACAGCCAGCAATTTCCGACTGATGGTTCCCACTCAGGAATGATACAGCAGGATTCCGCAGTACTCAGGAACATAAAGAGGAACAGAGCTTTATAAATAACTTCTGGTTTAAAATGGAGCTGAAAATAGACAGAAGAGGAAGCAAACTGCTAAGCACTTATTGAGTGGATAACATTGGCTTGGAACCTGAAGTGCAAATGGCTGGGCTGGTTTATTTCCTTCTCGTCAAAAGATCAAAGGCAAGATAGGACCCAGAGGCACCAAGACTGTTTCTATGTTTCTCAGGAAAGGTTTGTAAGGGTGTGGCTTTCAGCTGCTGGCGTCTCAGGGAAGATGCTAACACTGGCCTTGGTTAGATGTCACCGTGGTACCTGAGGAGCTCAGTGGGGTAGCGTGACTGGGTTGACCAGCTCTTGGCTCTCTGAGCCAGTGTGTCTTCACTAGAAGGTCTGGCTGCTGGGTTGGTCTCTATGCTCTGAGATTCTAGGTAGCAACTCAAGGCTCAGTCCTCAGTATGAAACTCAGGAACCAAAGGTCTGAAGGAAATCTTGACTGTGCTCAAGTGGCCTGTCTCTTCCCTCTACTGCACTCTCCCTCGGGTCTGTCTTTGGCTGTAACAAGGCCACTACAGTTTGTGCTCTCTGGGAAGCTGGAATCAAGTGGAAATGTGCTTTATTCACTTGCAGTCCCCAGGTTCCCTGGTTCTAGGGCGTGGCCCAGCAGCATGCCCCTCGTGGACAGGTAGAGGCACAGGCTGGAGGACAAGAGGGGTAGGACCGAGCTTGAGTTTGGGCTGGCCCCATCCCTGCCTCCCTGCCCCAGGGGCCTGAGCACAGAGCTGAACTACTGAGGGGGCAACAGCCTGACTGCCAGGCCCCACCTAGAGGCTCCCAGTTCCAGCGAGAAGGAGAGGAGGAGGAGGAGAGGTTCATCCAGGCAACCCAGCCACCAGCCTCAGCAGCAGCTGCAGGTACCCGTGTGCACGCGGAGGATGCCGCGGCTGTGCAGGTGCAGGAAGTTGAAGATCTCTGAGGGCATGGCATGGAAGCCAGGACGGGGCTTGACGTTGTCATAGTAGTGATGGGTGATGTAGAGGCCCGAGGGGTTCATGGGGAAGGCCCAGAAGCCGAACAGGTGCACTTCCTCGCAGAGCTCCAGCGCCGCAGTGACCAGGATGAGGCCGGTGCTGATGCGCTTGGCGCGCACCCCCAGGCTGAGCCAGTAGCGCGACACGTTGACCAGGTACTGCGGGTGGAAGTAGTAGACGGCCTGTGGCGACTCGAAGTCGTCCAGCACGTACTTGACGCGGATGGACACGTCGGTGTTGCGCGTGTTGTAGAAGGCGGGCAGCAGCACCGATGCGTTCTCATACACCTGCAGCACGCGGTAGAAGGGCCGCCGCCACTTCTCCAGCTTGTGGAACCTGTGCAGGGCCAAGAGTGAGAAGCGGCGGTAATATCCCTGCGTCTTCACCCTGCACCCTGGGGGCTTTGTCGAAGGACGTGGGGGGCCGCGCTCCAGGTCACACTTGCCACTCCCTTCTCATGCACTTCAGCACGGTCTTTCCCAGAGGTTTTACTTTTACAGCGGCGGGAGGGCTGGGGTAGCGGGAGCGGTTGGGAAGTGGAGGTTTTCCCTAGGGCCCTAATGCCGCTCCCTAGTGCTGTTTTCCCCGAGGTCCCCAGTGAGGCGCCCAAATTGAGCTGCCTGTCCTGGCTCAGCCCTCCCTCTCAGCCTCCAGATCTGGCTCCACACCTCTTCCAGCACAGGGAACTGCCCTCTCTCTCACCCCTCTGCAAAACTCCTGCATACATGACTTTGCTGGCTCTCGTGGGATCCGATGCAATTTAACGACTCCCTCTCCACCCCTTTTGTCCCTTTCTCTCCCTTCCCTCTTTCTCTCCTCTCTCCTCTCCTCTTCCTTCCCCTCTCCTTTCCCCTTTCCTCTACACTGTCCCTCTGTACCCTTCACCTGCCCTAGGTGTGCTATGCCCAGTATCAGGTTTCAACACTCCCCTCCCTGAGACCTCCCTCGCAGACACCTGGTGGGGAGCTAGATCTTTGCACAAAGCTTCTCCTACGCCACCTAGATGCACCAGGGAGGACATGCCTGCCTTGGTCACACCCTGGAGCCTCCTACCCCATCCCTAGGTAACAGTGATCTAAACCAGGACTGTCCAGAAATAGAATGCAAGCCCCAGGTGTAATGCTGAATGTTCTAGCAAGCACACTTTGGAAATGGTGGAAATTTTATATTTTATTTAATTCAGTATATTAAAAAATACTATCATTTCAACATGTGATTAATAGTTTAAAAATCAGTGCTACATCCTTTTGCTTGTATTAAGTCTTGGAAACCTAGCATGTATTTATGCTGACAGCCAGCACAAACTCTATTCCCAGGGCCCGTGGCTGCATGTCACTATAGGCCACAGCACCATACAGCTCCAGAAAGAGGGCCACTGACCTCTCTGTGATGATGCTGGGGTTCACAGTGACCACATCTGTCTTCACCCCCACATCCACGGTGTACTTTTCAGAGATGGGGGGCAGGTTGCACCTGCAGAGGAGACAGGGAGCCCGACACAAGTGGAGTCATTCTGCAGGTGTCCATGCAGGGGCATGAGGGAGGCAGGGGTGGTGATCATTCAAGCACAGGGATACAGAGGCTGCCAGCTGGGTGGGACCCCTGTGGTCAGGTAATAAGGCAGTGTTCATTCTGCCACATGTCAGGCATGGGGACAGCAAACAGACCTGGGCCCTGGTTTTGCTAAAGTTCCAGTCATGGGGCAGACATGCTCAACCATCTGAAGCCTGTAGTTACGAGCTGCTGCAGTCCTGGGCTTCTGAAGGACAGGCTCAGGGTCTTATGTGGACAGATGCAGGGCAGCACCTCCTTAGCTGGTGGCCCAAGAAGACTTCTCTGAGGAAGCAACACTTACACTGAGGAGAAAAAGAAGCACACCAACAAGAGTTGGACCATCTAAGTGGAAGGTGTATGCAATGATGGATCTTAGAACTGCAAAACCAAGTGACAAGCAAGTCACAGAGTTTGCAAGGAGTGTGGCTGGTAGAAAGCCTCTATGGTAGGGAGAGCCATGGCCACAGAATCGTACTTTGAACCTGTGAATATGGGCCTTACAGAACAGGGCAGAAGGGATGCTGCAACTTCACTTATGGGAAGGATCTTGGGATGAGAAGATTATCCAGGACTATCCAGGTGGGTCCAGTGTAATCACAAGGGTCTTTGTAAGAGACAGTGATGTGACAATGAAGGAGAGAGAAGAAAACATATGACAACAGAATCAGAACCAGACCAGAAGAGGCCACACTGGTGGAGTTGAAGGGACCCTAGCCAAGGAATGCAGGCAGCACCCAGGGGCTGGGCAAGGAAAACCAACACTTCCCAGAGAGGCTCCATCCAGAGCCTCCAGGGTGATCACAGCCCTGCCACCACCTTAACTGTAGCCTGAGACTTCCAACCTCCAGGGCTGTGAGGCGATAAAACTTGGGTTGTTTCAAGGCACTGATTTTGTGGTAGCAGCAGGGAGCAAAATCCAAATAAGCAAAATTTAGCAATAAAGTATTCAGGGTATGGCAATATGTCATAACAGTTTTTGAAAATGAGGGAATATTAAGTATAAAATTCAGGGTTATTACCTTTGGGGGATCAGGTAGAATGAAGGAGCACTTCAGTTGGTACAATGGCTCCATACAAATATTCTGCTTCTTTTAAATAAGTAGTTGGGGTTTTTTTGGATTGTGTATATGTGCGTGTGTGTGTCTGTGTGTGTAGTCAACTATCAATTATTGAGCACCTATGACATGCAAGGAACTTTCATAGGATCATACGAGACACTGTGTTGAGCAGGCAGTGACTCCTGTGTCTTGAGTGCTCTCAGCAGCACTCAGTGAGGTTTTGCCACTGCAGCACTGCCTTGGCAAAGACAATGAGTGCAATGAAAGGGGCCCTGGTGCCACCAAAACTACCCCAAACATCTAGACACCACAGCAGGTCCCAGACAGAGAGCACCTGGGGGAAAGTTTCCTGTTCCATTCTCCAGCTGCAGCCCTGTTGTGCAATAGCGGGAGGAAGGCACTGCCAGGACCATATCTCCATCAGTGATTGTGCCTAGCCATGTGGTCCTCACATAGACTGTGACACCCCCCAAGAAAAATTGTTTTTCGTCTAAAAAATTGGAGCAATATTAAAAGGTAGTATTTTTTTTTCTAATAGAGTACATGTTCTGCATTGCTTGAAAATCTTACTCTAAATGAATATTAACTCATAAAATTCACACATACACCCCCAGGGTATGATCACCCTTACCAACCATCTCAGAAAACAGGAGAAGTGGTTAGGTCACTCACTAGCACAAGGTGCCACAGTCCCTAATTCAAACCCAGGCTGCCGGCTTCAGAGCCTATGGATATATCACTCTGATACATGCCTGCACTGAAGTTCAGGTGGACCCCAGAGACCTGGGCACCTCGCTGAAAGACCATCTTTCAAGAGGAGGCCTCCCTTGCCTCCCTTGGCAAGGCTGGGTCAGGCTCAGCCTAGAGTCAGGGAACACCATGGTGTTGGAGAACTCCTAGCCTGAAGCTGGGCTCTTTGGGTGTCCTCAGGGATATGCAGCTGACTTGACTGTCAGGGAGGTGCCTCTAACACATGCCACCTGCCCATCTGTGGTGGTAATGCTATTTCTGAGCCTTGGCTTCTTTCTCCTAGAGACAGAAGGCTTGGTTTGCATTGTCAAGGGACCCCACATAGTGGGAGCGGCCTCTCTTTTAGGACCTCCTAAACCTTCTCTACCTTTATCTCCCAGCACTATTTCTGAGTGGCCCAGGGATAGTGGATCCATGAACCATGAGATATCACAGCAGGCTCAGCCCAAGGCTCTTTGCCTTAAGCTCTTTCAACCCATTGTCCTTACCCAGGTTAAAGAGGAATATGAGGACCCCTCGAGATACAGGGGAAGCTCTACATAAGGAAAAAGAAACACAAGGACCCATCTCTAGCACAGGTAAAGCAGAGAGAAGCTAAAAGGCTGTTCTGGTTTCCAGAAGTACTTGGGAGGAGTAGAGCTCAGCAAGGGAGATGGCCACCCGAAGGAGACTACTGTTAGATCTGTTGGCCCACTTGGGCTCAGGGCCTTCAGAGCCATTTGCTCATGACATGCCTCTGTTCTGCAGATGTGGAAACTGGGCCTAAGAGTACAGCAGCTTTACCCAAAGGGTTAGGGCTGGAGAGAGGAAGGGACACCCCAAAGTGTGAGAGTGTGCAGGGCAGGGAGCAAGTATTAGGGCACAAGGAGGGGCTACATATATTGGAGGAGCGCTAGCGCAGCTGGCAGGGCAGGCTGGATGGTTCTCCTACCGGAAGACGAAGTCAGCACTATTGATCTCCCGTCCGCAGCGGCTATTCTTGAGGATGCCTCCATTGCCCACCACTGCACACTTCTTAAACTGAGATCGGTAGTAGGGCATGTCCTGAGGGATGGGAGAGGATGAGAGAGGATGTTTACAGCTGTCAGAGCCAGCACTAACCCCACACTCCTTGGGCCTTCCACCTCTGTAACCATGTCCATCTCTGTGAGCTCTTAGCCCCAAGAGACAGCCTCAGAGGGAATGTGAGAGGCAAATGGGTGTCCACTTTACAGACGCGTAGAGCAAGCAAGAGAATTGTTACTTTTAGTGGCTCCAAAGGTCTCTCCCATCTCTGATACACAGAGCCTAATGGAAAGCTTGTCTCCTAGCTTACACAGCAGCTGGGCAGCCCTCAGGACAGAGGTGTGGCCAGCACTGTGGGCTTCTGATGAGACCAACCACTAGGGAGGGCCTCATGGGGAATGAGGTGAGATCTGAAGGTGATGCTGCATCCATCTGCGGTCCCTTTTCCTAGGAGAGATAGGACAGGGGCCCAGGACAGGGAGCACGTGGATCTCACAGCCAGTGGGGGAAACTACACTGTTAGACTTTTACCAGACAAAGGAGAAAACCCAAACTCATCTTTGGAAATGCCATCAAAGACTTGCTTTGTTTTTATATGGGTGTTCCCCAAATTTCTGTAAATCAAGAATTATCTAAAAATATCAATTTCTAGGCTCCAGTCAAGAAGCATGGAATCAAAGTCTCCAGAGTGCAAACAGGAGGCCGAGAAGCAGACTTTCCTACAAACACGAATGAATACATACCTCAAGGGCAGTTTGGGAAATGTCATCCTACATCAAATGCTCTAATTTGGGGATCAGCAAATTGTAGCACATGGGCCACATCTGGCCTACCACCTGTTTGTGTATGATTCAGAACTGAGAATGTATTTTACATATTTAAATATTTTACATATTTAAAAAAATCTGTTATGGCTTATATCTAGATGTCCCTCCAAAGCTTCATGCACTCACTCATGGGTGGGGCTTTGGGGAGCAACTGGATCCTGGGTACGATACTGGATTAGTCCACTGGTGGGTTTACAGCTGACTGTGATGCTGAGAGGCGAACCCTGGTGGGAAGAGATGGGTCACTGAGTGTGGCCTGGAAAGGTGTGTATGTACCACTTCTACTCCCCTGACCCCACCGCTGCTGCTTCCTGTCTGCCACTTCACTGACTGTTTTCCCTCTACCATCCCCATCCGCCATGCTGCCCTGCCTTGGATCCAGCTGACTGTGTACTGAAACCTTTATAAACTGTGAGCTAAAATAAACCATTCCTCCTTTAACTTGTGTGTGTTGGGTATTTTTGTCCTAGCAACAAGAAAGTAACTCAGACACAATTCAAAGAAGAATATTTTGTAATATGTGAAGATTATACAAACTTCAGATTTCTGTGTTATTAGAATGTGCTCATCTTCATTTGTTTACTAATATTCATGGCTGCTTTCATGCTGGGATAACAGAGGTGAATAGTTGTGACAGTGATTATGACATATGGAGCCCATTTACTCCCTTGCATTCTCCAGAGAATACAGGTGCCCCACTGGATTTCCCTGAGCCTGGGTAGTTTGTATCCTGGCTCTCCTTGGACCCATAGGTCATGACAGGCTGTTTCACACCAGGATAACCTATGTGATACAAGTCTACCTGTCGCCAGCCTCATGCTCCAGGGTTTATAAGATCTGTCTGCTTTTGCTCCTGTGCCTACCTTAGGTGAGAAAAGATGTCAACCACACATCCAGCTATCTATACACATCCTCTGAAAGCAATATTGTAGGCAGAATTTTGACATTTTCTTGCCTAAGTCACACAACGGGTAGCCATTTGGCATTGGTTATATCCAGACAGGATCCCCAACAATGTCCAGGGGATGGTGTGCTGTGCTATGACAACTGGGCAACTAGGGCCAGGACACCACAGAGCAGTGTGTCCCATGCAGAACCACAGGAGCATTGCCATCAAGGGCTATATCACAGAGTTAGCCCACGCAGTAGCCCTGCCCAGAGCTCACCTTGGGGAACATGCGGAAGATCTCCTGGTTGATGTGGTAGATGCCGCTTGTGTCCACCTCATACTTGAGCTTCGTCCCTAGTGGTGTGTTCTTTTGGGTGGTGAAGAGGAAGGCAGGGGCATTGCAGCACCGGGACAGAGTGGACCTGCCAGGCAGGGAGACATAGGTGACACTGGGCAGAGCAAAGCCTTACAAAGAACAAAGGGGCCATATATTAGGCCTCTTCCACCCTAATTCCCACCCTCATTCCAATCCCACGCCTTGCTTTTGCTGCCTCTCCTACTTTGTAGACCTCCTGGTGGCCAGGCCTTCTGTCTCTCTTGATGTGGACCTCTTGGAACCCAAGTCAGGTTCCTGTCATGAAGCCCTTGCTGGCCCTGTCCCCACTTATTGTATCTATTTCCAGGGCTGCAGCCCAGACTGGGAGCCACATACTTCATCACCTGCTGTCTCCCTCTCAGACTTGAAGAAAAGCCTACAACGGCAGGGACTCTACCTCACCCAACCCTGCATAGGACTAGTAATATATATGTTCAGTAACCAGGTGCCCACTGATCGCAAGATTGATCAAGTTTCACTAGAGCTTCTCTCAGGACCTGATGGCACACCCCTACTTCCTGGAGATGGGTGCTTTCTTCTTCATTCATCCAGCCTGAACACAAAGCCCAGGGGAGCCTCAATGCCCATGGCAGACCCTAGACCAGATGCCTATCTTGTCTGATGGGCTCATAAAACCAAAACCCACATGGTCAGCAGAAATGTACAATTACAAGCATTCAGAAACCAATTTAGGAATAGGGGAGGTCAGAAAATAAGCTAGTGGCTTGATACTGGCTGGCTTTCTTCATAAAATGGACACTGGTTCCAAGAGAGGTTTTTTAGGAGATTCATTATATAAAGAAAAAAAATAAAAATAACTCTGTGATTTTAATCTCAAACTTGAGCTACTGAAGATTTAAGTTCTGCTGTGTTTTGTTTTGTTTTGTTTTGTTTTTAAAAAAAGCCTACGGGGGAAGGGGCTGTTGAGGCTGGCTGGGCACCTGCCAGCCAGGAAGCTTGGTTTTCTGTCTTCTCTGCAGCAGGTGCACCACCTGGCAGTGCGCCCTCCAGGGCCTGCCAGGGAGGCTCTGTGACAGGGTCAGATCTTGGCACATTTTGTCCCCCTGCTCTGGGGGCCTAAAGCTTGGCCACAGAGGGTGCTAGACTTGACCATGGGTATAAATACTGCTTCCCTCATACTGGGGGCCAAGCCCGCAAGGATGCACCTCCTCCAAAAGCAGCAGCGGTCGGCTAAGTGCTCACTGGGTGCCTTCCGCAGCGCTGGCTCCAGGCATAGTCACAGCCATGACCAGGCAGCCCTGGGGGATGGAGTCCTGCAGTGACCAGAAATGGAAGGTGAGGAGGAAATCTTAAAAACTCCCACCAAGGTCTAGGATGGAACCTGGGACAGGGTTAGCAACCTCATGACAAGAGATCTGGATTCAAATTTCTGCTCTTCCCCAACAGTTGTGGGGCTCCAGGAATTTCTCTTTCCTTTCTGAAACTCAATCTTGTCTGCTACTGGAAAGTTTAACCAGCTCCTACCCATTGAGAGAAACTGACTCTTACTAACCAAGCTTACAAGCGACCAATGTTTAAACCAGAACGCCAAAGTGTCAGTTTGTAACCAGCATGGTAAGGAAAGGTCTCTGTTACAGGACTCTTTTCCTGTCACTGAAATGCTCAGGTCTCACTCCTACACTGCAACAGTTTCTGCCAGCCTGAGTGAAGAATCTCATCACTGTTCCAGGAACTTGAAATGAGAGCAAAGGGAGGCAACTGAGTGGCCTTGAAGGTTTTTCCATTTAGAGCACAGCAAGGTCTGATGTCACCTCCCTCCCCTACACCTTAACCCACTCTATACCCCTCAGCCCTCACAGCGTCATGCTCTGGACAGTGGTATCTGATCCTTGCTATAGGTTCTTACTTAAAAATGCCCCTACCTCTAGATGTGGCCTGGAATTGCCACCAACGGGAACAAATGACTTGTAAAGAAAATATAAAGTGCTTAGTTACATTTGCTTTTCACAATCTCCTGTATAGACTTCTTTTTACGGATAGCTGATCACTACATTTAAACTTGAAAATGAATTGCTGAAATCCACCTTAAGCATAAATCACAATTAATTCCACAACATAAGGTCTATTTGCACTAAAATAATGAAATATGCCTGCAGGATTTTAGAGATGGAGGGAACCCTAAAGCTCGCCATTAATGAAAAAGAATGTTTGGATGTTGCCCATCTGCTTGTTCCCACAAGAGATCTTTACGATAACGCTCTTGCCTCGATGGGAGTTTATAATCTGTTGGTTGTGGTTACAGAGCAATCAGGAAAGAATCTACGGCAGGGCCCAGATGCCTAGTGTGGCTGTCAAAATGCAGGCACTAAGGGAAGGCATGAGGCTGCTGGGTTAAGAGCTACTGTCCACGAGCGGAAGGTGGGGACAGAGAGGCCATGGAGGATTGTGGGGAGACCTAGAGCAGATATCTTACTGTTAGAAGGCTCAGTGAACCCCAAATGTGTTCTGGAGGTGACAGCACTGCCTTGTGGGGCTGCTGCATGGCCTTTTGAGGACAGCAACTTGCAGGGACCACCTTACTCTGCTGGGGCCAGAGCCTGGCCACAGCCCAGGTTCCTCAGCTCCATTAGGGTCAGCCCAGGGCAGGTGCTACAAAGAGCTGGGCCTTACAGTATAATGAAGACCCAAAGAGGTGACAGTGGGAGACCCACACCAGGAGAAAGAATGACAGACAGAACTGATAGGTACTTGAACTGGTTGGCTTCAGAGATGTTCATTGCCCACTTGCACATCTGGAGGCTTTTCCACCTGTCGAACAGCTCCGATTGTTTCACCCTTTGGGAGGAAGAACAGAGAAAAGAGAGGGCCAGGCTTGACCAAACGTCATCATTTCTCAAAATGCTCCTTCTCTGCACTCATTTGCCAAATCCAGGCTTATTCTGTGTATTAACATTATTGTCTTATTCTCCGTCTTCTTGATGCTCTGGTATCTGGAGCCTTGTTGCTTACTGATGATAGCATTGCACAAGTCTCCTGAAAAAGTGCCTTTCATAGGAGCACTCCAGACCCACCCCTCAGCCATCTTCTCTTCAGCCAGCCCTAATTATCTCAGAGCCAGGTACCAGACAACTACCTAGGCATCAGAGTCTACCCAAATTATTCAGCCTAGCCTGTCCTAAGCTTGTCTATGCCACACATCCTGCTTTGCCTGTTCCCTCCCATGAAAACCACACTAAAGGTCCTGCCTCTGTTTCCCCTCACTCCTGGCTTCTGCCCAGTCCTGGTGTTTCCCCTAGTTCCTGTGTGGTGTGGCGTGCCTCCTGTTTCTGGGGACTTTGAGCATAAAAGTTCCTACTCACAACAGCCATTTGTGTGTGCACATCTAACCACATCTGATTCAAACAAGTCATTCTTCCTCACGTGCTGGCTCAGGCGGACTGTGCAGGTCTGTCTCTGGGAGCAAGATGCTTTTCTGGGAAAACCCCACACTGCACACAGCACATAACAGGGCTCAGGGATGTGGTGCACCCTTTTCTTGCATTCTCAAGGGCAGATCATAATTTCCCAGTGACAGGAAGAGATGAGAAACTTGAGATGTGCCCTCTTCTCTGCACAGCCATCTGCCTGGCTGTGTGTTGGTGGATTTTAAACATCTCAGCAATCTGATGTCCCCAGCTGTTCTCAGAAAAGAAAGAATCTAATCACAGAAGAGTATCCCTTTGACTAACACTGTATACAGAATTAGTTTTTAGTTATCATTTATATTTACACATTAAGCATTAGGCATTCTTACAAGTTCCAATGCTATAGGTACAGTTTTAAGAAATAGAGCAAAATATAGACACTAGATACATATTGTCTTTATGAATAAATGAATAAATGAGTGAATGAATGAACCAAACAAAGATTCAAATTCAGGAACAGGAATAGTTCCCTTTCGAATACTTCCTATCCATCCAGAGTAGCTGTCTGCCTTGTCTCTTTCACTTCTCCCTTTTCCCACCTTCAGATAAATGGTGTGCTTTAAAAACAAGCAAACCAATTCCCAGAACACTAGCTGGTGACTGTGAAATCTTTATATGCACTAACCTCTTTAGGAATTACCCCCTCCCTTCTCATGGTTTCTCTTGTCCTTTTCAGAGGTACCCAGGCTCAGAAGCCGCACATCGCACGCACTCCAAGCCCTCTCTCCCACATACATGCTTCAGTGTCTGTTATCTTTCCCTATCATTAGTTACTTATCCTCATCTCTGTGAAGAAGTTGCTTCTGGGATCTTACCCAGGCTAAATCACCATAGGTAAGGTACAGAAAACCTCAGCCTGCTCATCTCTATAGTAGAGCTATCACAATTCTTGCCACCTACTGAGAGATTATTTGCACTACAATCACTCATTTGGCTCGTGCAGTCCTCTGCGGCGGGGAATACAGGGAGATGTTAAGTGAGAAAGAAAAATCTGTACAATGACGTCTGTCCCAAAGTGTATTCTGTGGAACTCTAATTCAGTAAGAGGTCACAAGGTATTAGCTGAAACACTAATACATGAAACTGCTACAAAAATGCGCTCATATCTGGCTGAACCCAAGTTTTACAAGAGAGGGAACCTATGGCCAAACATTTCTAGGAAAGGTGAGTTAAATAAAGTTCAATGCCTTTTTAAATTGCAAAAGTTCTCAGATGGCTTAACATGTTCTCATATATTGTGGATTTACAAAAAAGGGGGTGGTATCATCTGATTATTTCCCAAAGGTACTGAATCATGAGATCCTTTATTCAGTGAACAGTTCATAAGACTAGAAGTCCACAGAAACACTGGAAATGCAAGATAGCTAGATCATACATTCCTTAAAGAATGGACCATAACTTCTCTCTCATAGTCATGTGCAGTCCTCAGCCAAGGTGCTGTGTAGCTGTTCAGGGCCATCTGACTGTGGATCATTAGGAAACTGATAGGTCTTGGGTGCTGGTGCAGAGAGAAAAAGCCCCTTAAAGGAGGATGTTCTGGATTGATCATCAGTGGGGGAACCACCAGACCCCAGGAGCCGACTGCTCCCCAAAACTGCTCTGTGTTTCTTTCCCAGGGGCCACCAAAGGGTTTAGAGGAGTGTATGAACTCCCTGCATTATGGACAAAACCCCAGGATTATTCACCTTTGTAGTATATATCTTGGAGAGAATCCAAAGCCTTCATCTGCTTCCCAAAGGGGGTCCAAGATTCCAAAAAGACAAATACCCACTTGACTACATTTTAAAAAATAAAGGTTCATTCTTCAGAGGTATATTCATGTTTAACTGGAGGTGTTAACACTTGTTCCCAAGCAGAGGAGGCCTCATCTACAGAAAAGATACATGGCTGGTGGGGGAAATCACAGAGGACTGTGACCAAGTACATGGATTTGGGAACCAGATCTTGGGTGTAAGACCTAGTTCAGACACTTCCTAACCATTAGGCAGGTTACTTAAACCTCAGAGCCTCAGGTTTCTCATTTATAAAATGGGCATAATAATAACCTCTTTGCCTCACAGATTTTTATCAATTATTAAATAAAATGACATAATAAAGGATTAGATCTGGTGCCTGATGCACAGAAAACATCTGATCAGTATAAACTATTGTTATAGTGAACCGGAACTGCCTTGACTATGCTCAAGCACAGTCCCTTGTACTTTCCACTTTTACAAAACCCATAACCTGTCCTTATTCCCATTATGTAGTACACCATGGTGCAGGGATCATGCCTGAGTTCACCACTGTAACTCCATGTTGAGGCACAGAGCAGATGTGTGGGAAATAGTTGTTGAGTACATAAAAACTAATGAATGAATCAAGAAGTCTGAGTTCAAACAAATCTTTAACTGTTTACTGAATGCCTATATATGACTAGAACTGGAAGTACAGTAGGAAACAATTCCCTGCTTGCATGAAGCTTAGGTACCAATGGTGCAGACAACTGGGAAACAAATCTAAATTGTCTTGTCTGGAAGTAGTAAGTGCTATGAAGAAAAATGAAGTAGGATACAGGGATAGGTAAGTGACTGTTTCAAGTAGTTGATCAAGGAAGGGTTTTCGGAGAAGAGAAACCTTGAAAAGAGACCTAAAATGACAGAGGAGTGAGACATGAAAATACCTGGGGAGAGTATAACAGAGAAAAGAGTGAGCGCAAAGGCCTTGGGGAAGGTAAAGACCCGAAAGGAGCCTCTCTCCTCATCTGGTGACAGGCAAGACTTTCTCCTGGAGTCCTAAGCTCCTGCAGCAGCTCTCCCCACTATGGAGCTCACAGAATATCAGAGGACAGGTGCTGATACATAGCAGCATCCTGACTTGTGCTCGGCTACCTTTCTCATCTCCCTGCAACCCACAGGACCTTAGAGCAGCACCTTATACCACCAATGCTCCAGACACCTTGTAGAAACACAGGTTGTCCAATACTCCAGGCCAAGGTACTGTGTTCAGTTGCTTACAGCAGTCCATGCCCTAATCTCTGTGCTTTGAATACCCTTGTCACACCCTAGACCAAGGTCAGGGCCTGGAAACCCAACCTTGAATCCTGGCTCCATCTCAAATGTGCAATGTGACCTAGGGCAAGTTATTTAATCTTTCTGAGACTCAGCTTCTTATCTGTATGATAGATATCGTAGATTCTGCCCTGCCAATCTCAAAGGTTGTTGGATAGATCAAATGGATGTGTAAAAATACTGTATAGACTGCTTTGAAAATACAGAAGTCAAATGAAAGGCTGACTCAAGGTTCTTCTTTCTTTTCTTCCAGGACACCACTAACACTCCAGATGAAGGATAAAAACGATGTAACCCACCAGATGAACACAGGGAAGGACAGGGCAGGGAAGGATATCTCAGTGAAAGAGAAATCTCAACAGGCTTACAGAAGGAGGAGGGCGTGACAAAAGGATAGGATGACACAGCCCAGAGGAAAATTCTCAAGGTGGGAAAGGAGGATGGCTCTGAAAATGAGAATCAGTGTGAGTTTGTAAGGACACCCAAGCTCACTCTGCCCCCAACCTACAGTCTAATATTTTAGATCCAGCAGCAGGTAGAAGGGTTGGGTGGGAGGAAGGATGAAATCAGACTATCAGCTGTCAGTTCCTTTCATGGGTATCACACCAGTAAGAGAATCAATAGCATTTTGAACAACTTCAGACACACAGCTCCTACCTACTTTAACTGCTTTAAGTTTAAGCATCTGAAGGAAATAGCCTAAGATAACCCATCTGATACAATGAATACATAGGAAAATATTGAGGGAACAAAAGAGATCTAAAAAATATTCTACTTAGTGTCCAGGGATAGCCAGAAAAAAATTATATTCTTAAAAATAAGAATAGATTGCTCTGAGAACAAAGAAAAATCTCTGGAGGAAGAGTTAATTAAAAGAGCTAGAAAATGAAGTCAAGGAAATTTACCAGAATGTAGAAGCAAAGTACAAAGAGAAAAGTTTAGATTAAAAGATATGAATGCTAGAGAAGCAATCCAGAAGATGCAGTACACAACTCTTAGATGTACTAGAAAAAAGTGGAGAACAATGAAGAGCAGAAGATAGATTTATTTAGCTCATAGTTTTGAAGGCTGAAAGTTCAAGTTTGGAAATGAGCTCCAGAGGACAAGATCCCTTTGGGCACTGAGGTACACCACTGGGACACTTTAGACCTGTCCTGATCTAAAGAGATCCCAGAGGAAAATACAAAAATAAACCACATCATCTCCAAAGGAACAATCATTCTCATGCTTCTCATGTAGCCCTGGATGCTACAAGATGGTAGAGGTCTACAAAATCCCAAGGGAAAATGATTTTCACCTAAAATACCATCTCTGAAACCAATAATCCAACCAACAAACCAATAACCTACCAAACCAATAATCCAACAACCTATCAAACCAACCAGCAATCCAGCAAGCTAAAAATCAATCAACAATCCTACAGATAATCCTATAATTATCTGATCAATAATTCAACAACCCACCAAACCAATAATCAAGAATATAAGCATAATTAAATGATTTGTACATAGCAAGGCTTTAGAACCTTCCTTCCCATCCACCACTTCTTGGGAATTTGCTTCAGAATGGGTTTAAGAATGAGGAAGGGGTAAACAAGAAAGAAACAGCTTTCTTGGGTTCTCAGCAAAGGTGAATCTAACCTAAAAAAGGCAGAGAAGAGAAGTTCCCAGACAGTTTCTATGTGACAAAGAATAGTCCATCCAAGTTGGCATAAGAGGATAAATGAAGATCTTGGAGGGACTGCCTGATTGATTGGGAGATAGAGCCGAAAACTTGGTATAGCAAAGACAAAGAGGATGAGAGAAAGATGGCTAGAAGCTCCAGTGGGGAAGGGAAGCACAAGAAAGGATCTATACTGAGTTACCTTCCTGGCCTTCAGTGAACAATATCTACACTGTCTCAATAATGGAAAATAGTATTTGATAATCATTGTTATTTTTTGTTTGTTTATTTTTTTGAGACAGGGTCTCACTATGTAGTGCAGGCTGGCCTTGAACTCATTTTTGCAGTCCAGGCTGCCATCAAACTCACAGCAATCCTCCTGCCTCAGCATCCTGTGTGCTGGGATTACAGGCATGCACCATTACATCCAGAGACAATCATCAAATTTTGAAGTTAGCTTCTAAAGCAATCCCCAGGAAAGGTTTGTTGTGGTTACAGATAAAACGTAAATGCATTGACCTTAACATTTACAACATAAATTCATGGGTGTCTGATGCTATAGGTTGGAGAAAGGAACTAGAAAACAGGGGCTAATAGCCACGCCTTGCACAGTGCAGGATCTAGACCCTGTCTATATTTTGTGGAAGAAATAGATTACTAGGTAATCTATACAAATAAGAACTAAAACCAGCAGTACCCTTTTTCTTAATCTGTTTTCTGTTAACAAAATACCAAAATATCTGAGGCTCAGTAGATATAAAGAAAGGGGATTTATTTAGCTCACAGTTTTGAAGGCTGAAAGTTCAAGATTAGGTGTTCCCATCAGTTCAGCCTCTGGTGATGGCCTCTTTAACTACATCAAAACATGGCAGAAAGAGGAAAGAGAGATGGCCACATCAGAAGAGATCACAGGGCAAGACAGGAAGCCAGAGAAATATAGAAGTCAGGCTCTCTCTTCCACAACAACCTAGATTCATGAGGATGAATTCACTCCGTCGCACCAGTATTAATTTTTTCTCACTCCCCAAGACCTAACTAGGTCTCATGTCCTAAAGGTCGCACTGCATCGATATTGCATGTTGGTCAAGCCTTCAGCACATGAACCTTTGGGAGACAAACCCATGTAAATCACAGCATGCTCACCTGGGGAAACATGTGAAAGAGGCTAGGGACACAGCAGAATCCTTACCCACCAAAGCAACACATCGGTGAAGACTGGGGAGAAGGGGTGAGTATGAAACAGCCACATGCACATATTACTTAAGAGCATAGAGTAATTACCTAAAGAGCCAACTGAGAATCAAAAGGAGTTAAGTGGCAGAGAAGGCACAGGGCAGGGGACTGAGGCGTTTCATTAGCAGAAGCTTTTGTGATCTACTTGATTTTTCATATGCAAGAGACAATGACCATAGGAGCTAAGAATGAGCATCTCATTATCCTTGTTCCCCCTTTTCTTCCATGGCCTACTCTGTCTACACCCAGGTCTCAGCTTCTTCCTCTGTCCACTCATTCACTCCACAAGTGCATCCCAACCCTCTGCAGAGATCACAGGCTCATTAACAAGGTCCTGGCACACATCTTCAGTGGACACAAAGGGCCTCTCTGCCCAAGGAATGGCACTTGGTCAGTGTCCACGATGCCCAGTTTCTCTCTTGGTCTCATTACTTGGTGTCATGCTGAGTTACCCAGTCCCAGAAAAAAATGGGTAACGGGCTGCAGGAGAGGCCAGCTGGGGAGCTCTCAGGCACAATCCCCATCTAGCTGAGAGCGCAGGAAGCAACTAAAGGCCTTTCTTTAAAACTAAAGAGACTGCAAACCGGTGATGGTAAGGCACATTCAAAGATAACAAACAGCCAGCTGCAGCATGTATGTCACAGGTTCACCACTACTTCTCCAGACTGACTAAAATCAAGAATTAACAATGGATTTTCTTAACAAATCATCCTGGAGAATTCCTTATGTGCCTGACATTGTCAGGGAGTGAGGCATTTTTCCATGTGGGAATTTTCTGGCTGACTGATTTTACCATAGATGTTAGCAATTTTGCTTCAAAATTATCCCCAGATGAATCATACACCTCCCTGTCTCCTCAAACAGAACACCAGCTGACATTCTGTATGCCGGAAGGGACATAAGCACATTTGTCCAGCTGCTTCAACCCACAGATGGGGTTTAACATTTTCCTAATGACTCAAGCCTGGCCCCATCAGGACACCAGGTCATGGTGCAGAGCAGGAGCCCAGTGAAGCCCTCAGGTCCCTCAGATGATGTCAGGGCCACAAGGATCAGAGGCCAGTCTTTAAGGCTCTCCAATTTCATCCCTTGAGGACCTGCTAACCATCAGCCAAGGGACTCAGAAAAGGAAGCATTGGACTTGCTATTCTTTGAGGTCCTCCAGGTTCACACACTCATGCCCATGAAGAGCCTGTTCTTACCTCTTTTTCTTACCCTTGCAGAACACAAAGAGGGTAGCTGCCATGAGAAGAGACAAGTTATACAGGCCCAGCAAGGATGAGGTCACCAACTGGGTTGCTGTTCATCCCAGAAACCCAGTGCCAGGGGACCAGAGAGGATGATAAAAGCAGAACTAACACCAAACATGGAGAGACCAAAGTACCACCAACAGGAGTCCATGACCAGGGATAACATGGGGAAATATGAGGTTGTCCATAACACCATACTATGTTTGTGTTTAGACTCATATCAAAGGGCCTGGGTAATTTCTCTGGTCCCCAAATATTAGCTGTGATAGGGAATGTAAATGATTACATTGCATCCCCTAAAGATTCCTGTGTTGCAGTCCTATCCCCCAGTATCTCACAACATGACTGTGTTTGGAGAAAGGGTTTTTAAAGAGGTAATTAAGGTAAAAAGAAGCCATGGAGGTGGACCCAATCTAACATGACTAGTGTCCTTATGAAAATAGGAGATCAGGACACAAGATACAGACTGAAGGACAGCCATGTTAAGGCACAATAAAAGGGTGGCCATCAGCAAGCCAAAGAGAGAAGCCTCAGAAAAAGAGCCCTGTCAACACCTTGCTTTCAGACTTCTACCCTCCAGAACTCTGTGAAGCCTTAAGAGGTGGGACCTAATGTGAAATCTCCAGGTCCTTTGGGGTGTGCAGCTCAAGGGGACAGTAAGACCTTGGTCTTTTCCCTCCTCTTTGCACATCCCAGCCATACGGTAATCAGCTTTACTCCAACCCATGCTCCCTACCATGATCTGCTGCCTCACCACAGGCTCACAAGCAATGGGACCCACAATGAGCATCTGAAACCTCCAAAACTGTAAACCAAAGTGAACCTTCTCTCTTTAAGAGAGATTGAATATCTGGGTGTTCATTAAGGAAAGATTTGAGAAGTTAAGTAATTTGCCTAATAGTTCAGAGCTGTGAACGTCCAGAGTTGCCTTTGGATCCCAAGTCTGCCTGACTCCAACATGCATGTACTCAGCATGACCCCCACTACCTGGAATCGCAGGAGACATAGTTCCTGCCTGTGGGCCACAGGCCGAAGTCCCTGGGGTGCTGTCTATATGAGCACCCAATATGGCTTGTTTGAATAAACTGTATTTTGTCCATATCAAGAAGTAACTGTTTCTAAATAAATACACATCCTTTCACAATTAATACAATACAACCCTGCCTAATGGGTCTGCTGAATTCAAGGGAGTTCTACATAGAGGGAAAACTCAGGTGAGCACGCATGCACTAAAACACACAGCATCTAATGTGCTGTTTCTCCTGCAAGCTGAAAGCGAGCCATAGGAGATACACCGTTGAGTGAGATGGGGAACTTAGTTCTTTTACCATTTGTGCAAACAAAAAATATTTAAAGAAGCCAGATGTGGTGGCTCATGCCTGTAATTCCAGCTATTCAGGAGGATGAGGCAGGAGGGTCATAAATTGAAGCCCAGCCTGGGTATTTAGCAAAATCTTGTCTCAAAATAAAAAATAATAATAGCTGCAGAGAGCTTGCCATACACAGAAGCCTGTTTGTGCCCAGACCTTCTCTGGAAGGACTCACTGGACCTCTGTAGAGGAGAACCTGATGACTGTGAGGAGATGCTTCACTGTATACCCTTCTGGACCACTTGAATTTTGTATCATTTAAATAATTTAAAAATGAAAACTTTTAATGAAATTAGAAATTTAAAAGGCGATAACAAGAGGGCAGCACTTAACCCTGTGGTGCAAAGGACTAAATTTCAGGTAAGACATTTCCGTGCCCTCTTCGATTTCTACATGGCGGGAGCCCAGAGATGATAATCAAGAAGACAGGTAACTGAAATCCGGACTTTAACACCAGAGTCATTAGAGGTGACCTTGAAAACCTGGCCTTTTGTCATAAAACAGCTTCCAGAGCTGTCCAAATGACAGCGGCCCTGGGGAAGGAGACCTAATTTTTGTTCCATGGGATCCACCTCAAGTTTCTTGTTTCTTCTGACTTTGCTGCCACCCCACCGTGCCCAGCCCCTCTGCCACATGCACCTGTCACCCACCACCCAGCCCCGCCACACTCACATGGACAGCACCTTCACCTCCAGTATCTCGTGCCTCAGCTCCAGGCATCTCGTGGAGTTATATTCAAAAGGCCCCTCGTAAAATTCAAAGTACCTGAGAACCAACAAGGACAGGGTCATATAGAGAAGCAGGCTAGTTTTCCAGGGTCTGTCAAGGGTCCTGCTGGTGTCTGTTCCCGTCAAACAAAGCAAACCAGCCCTACCCAGCAGAGTGTAGGGTAGGGGGCCCCAGGCAGGTCATCAGTGACTCAGAACTCCCTACTGCCCTGGTCTGTAAGTGGTGACAGCAGCAAGAACCCATTTTATGAGCTAAAGTGCAGAAGCATTTGGTTCCAAGTTTGTGCCATGAAGGAAGAGAGGAGGAACTGAGACACTCTGTGTGCTGTGATCAGACGTCCCTGGAGATCAGAGGCATTCGGATAGCCTCCAGCTGTCCTGCCCCTTCCTGCCCTTCTTTCTTTTCTCTTCTTGGGATAATGTCCTGCAACACAGCCACAGGCAGAGTGGAGATTTCCATTGTTTCTTCTACTTTGCAATGCATGTCTATTTCTGTCAGCTCACTTGATGCTCATACTTGTGCTAGGATGCTAGAGACTGATGTTTTTCTCCCCACTTAGCAGCTGGGAAAACTGAGGTTCTGCAGACAGAGCTCCAAGTCATACTGTTAGTATAGGACAGGGCCAGGGTTTAGTCTTTGTCCAACTGCAGAGGACCCCAAGTGCTTTCCAGTGCCAGCTGGTTCCAGGGCACGTCAGAACTACCACGGGGCACCACTGCCAGCTTCATGCAGAATAACAATACCAGTTACAGTTACTGCCAACACTTACTGAGCTTTTCCCATGGGCCACAAGCTGGGCTCAGCGTTCACTTTTCATCTTTCTAGCTGACCTGTGAAATGATCGCCACAAGCATCCCAGGCCCTGGGAATAAACTGACCGGCCCTGAGCCACACAGCTGGCAGATGGCAGAGCTGATACGTGAATCTGCACCTTAACTCAAGACTGCCCTTACCCCCACTGGTCTATGGACAGCTGGTGTCTCCTGGAGAGGGGCCTCAGGCTTTCCACACTGTGGGTGAGGAGCTGCCTCCTGGGACAGAGGCCAGGTGACTCTTTCTCTCCACAGTCTCTCTCTTGCTAGGGATGGTTCAGCAGCTGGGGCAGGTGTTGCTGGGAGAAGTAGACCCAGCCTCAACCAGGAATTGAGACGCCTTCAGGGCTATGCCACTCTAAACACAGCTTAGTGGCATTTTGATGGGTAACTTTTATGAGCCAGGAGTGAGAGAGGTACCCTAACAGCTGATGCAGAGCCAGGACCACGGATGGAGAACACAGGCATCCTGGAGCATGCCCCAACACTGGTGGCAGCAGTGTGCACATGTATGTCCCACACCAAGCTCATGTGTACAAATATATGAACATGATGTTTCACAAACCCTGAAACACTGTCAGGTGTGGTGGCACAGGCCTGCAATCCCAACACTAGGGAGGCTGAGGCAGAAGGATTGTAAGTTCAAGGCCAGCCTGGAGTACATAGCAAGACCTGCCAGCAAAAAAAGGAAAGAAATCCTAAAATATTTATCAAATATATTGGGTTCTTTTTAAAAAGTTCGTATTTTAGAGGCCAGCCATGATAGCATATACCTGTAGTTTTGGCTGCACAGAAGGCTGAGCCAGGAGGATCACTTGAACCCAGAAGTTCAAAACCAGCCTGAGCAACATAATGAGATTTCATCTCAACAAATAAATAAATACAAATAAACACACAAATAACTAAATGTATTTAAGGAATTTTAAATATAACTTCATATTTAATATTTTAAAGTTATATTTATAAATATTTATTCTTAATGTAAATATAATTTAATAGTTAATTTTAAGTACTATACCTATTTAAATAATTTTTTAAAATGTTAATACATTTTGTACAACAAATGGGTTCCTATTTACAAAATAAATAGGTTTCTTGTTCTCATGTCATAAAAGAATTCAGGCAGAATTAATAAGAACTAGGGAGGGAAGAGCCTTAAAATAGCAAACTCACCTTTTCCTCTGTTTTTCTTGTGTTTGTGAGTACCTTTCTCTGTCTTCCTCATCTGGCAAACTCATACTGATCCTTTAGTACCCAGCTCAAATGCCCACACTTCTGGGAAGACTTCTCTGATCCTTACCCCTGGGCTTCTGTACGCTCTCTTAATAAGGGCAAATAACATTGTATTATAATAGTCTGATTATATATCTGTTACCTTTCCACACTGAATATTTCAAACACAGGACCATGTACTTGTTATCTCCACCTTCTGCAAGAAAGCTAAAGACTTTTCCCATATTCCTTAGTAGCTAGGGCTCTTGGTGCAATTTAGATTCAACCAGTCACAAGTATTTGCAGGAGACAGGTGTTACTGTACCTGAGAAGGAGGGCAAGGTGCAAGGCATGGTTTTGCTGGTGAGCTAATGCAACAAGATGGCATGGCTCTTGGAAACTGCACTAGTAGCAGCACCTTCCTGATTATACCAGGGGCAGCAGCTTTCGTGGATGGCCCCATGTTACGATGCAATTTAGGGAGGCATTCTTGGAAGCTCAGTCATTTCTTCAGTTTTCCCAAAGATTCTGAGCTAGCTGTTCCCTTGCCCTTTCTCCTTTAACTACCAGACATGGATTCTGTTATCTGCAACCAAGAATTAGAGGTCAGTCTGGGGCTACCAAACAAGCCCATGACCTTGGCTCTAAGTCACGTAGTTTTCCAGTCACACTGTGGTAAGTGAGGTCTGGTGTCTTATCACAAACATGATTATTTGCAACCAGAGCCAGTGTCACTAAGCCCTGGGAAGCCACTGTGTCAGGTGAAGTCATGATCATGGGTTGCTGCAAACAAACAAACAGAAAGGTCCCAATGCAAACCATGCCAGAGATAATCAGTAGACTTATGCTAGAGTCCTAAGGGAGCTGGGAGACTTACTGACACATCTCCAGTGTGGGCACAAGCCAGCTGTGTGATTTTGGATAAATCATTTCCCCTCACTGGGTCTTTTTCTCCCCCTGAAAACAACCTGTTTGTGGACAGCACCCTCCCTTTGACCAGCTGGCCCTCCCATTTCCTCCTTAGGCTGTCCCACCTTGCCACCTCCGGCCTCTGCTTGGCTCCTGTTTCTCCTGAGTCCTCAGCATCACTCATGTTCCAAACCAAGCAGTAGACTGATTCCAAATGGTCTTTTGCCACATATCTGGTGGCTCACAAGAGGAGAGACTTTCAGACTGGGCTCACATCCCTCATCAGCCGCTGCTAGGATCCGAATGTTTGTGTGCACCCCCAGTTCATATGTTGAGATTCTAACCCCCAAGGTGATGGTGTTAGGAAGTGAGCTCTTTGGAAGATGATGGGGACACAGTCCCCATGAATGGAATTAGTGCCCTCATAAAAGAGGTCTGAGAGAGACCTCTTGTCCCTTCCATCACGTGGGGATACTGCTAGAAGGTTCTGTCACACGAACCAGGAAGTAGGCCCTCACCTGAATCTTGTCTTCCAGTTTCCAGAACTGTGACAAATAAATTTGTTCTTTATAAGTCACCCAGTCCATGGTATTTCGTATAGCAGCTGAGATAGCCACTTAGGCCTGTCATTCCTCTAAGCCTTAGTTTTCTCATATGTAAGATCAGCAAAAATACGGCAGCACATGAGTGAGGAGCATTGAGATGAGACTTTAGTGATCATTTCTGCAAAGCACTAGCACACAGGAAATGCCAAGAAATGTTCATTCACTCCCACTGTCCCTTTTGCCCCTGCCACTAAAGGACAAGTGCTGCCAGCAGATGCCACAGGGAGGACCAGGGACTCAGAGACTTGCTTCCAGGCCCTCAGCTGGTTGATAGGAGAGTTGAGTCAGGGATGAGTAACTCAGGAAGCTTCTCCACCATCTGTTCTGGTGACACCCCCTTCTGCTGAGATCAGTAAACCTCCCCCTGTCACCCTGTGTGCAGATAAATCGAAGCTGCTTGAGTGTGGGGATGTCCTTGATCACCCATCTTGCTGTAGGCTCCCTGCACTAACCATATGTTTCTGACCTTTTGGCCCCTAAGGCCTTGCCCATCCTGGAGCCACTGTCCCTCCAAGGGATAGCCTGTTCCTAGAGAGAGTAAGAAACTAGCCTCTGAGTACATCTTTTATATGCAAACCAACCAATCAGAGCTGTGCCCCAGACCACATCTCTCACCTAGTTTCCACATTCTGGGATACCTAATCACCCAGGGCCAGGTACTAGGCAACTAGGGACAAGCCGTACACCCAGAGCCTAATGAAATTACCTAAAGGAGCCAACCCTAAGCCTGCATGCCCTGACTCCCCAGTTCCTGCCCATGGAAGTCTCTTGCCCACATTTACCCTGTGCTTTCTCAGCCTTCTGACTAATCCTGGTTTGGCCCAGGTGGCCCTGCATGGCATGCCTGCCCTGCCTCGTTTCCAGGATCTGTGAGTATAAAACCCCTCCCTCATGACAGTAATTTCCATATCTGCATCTTACTATACCTAATTAACGCAAGTTCGGGTCCCCTGAAAATAATCAATGAGGTCACTCAGCCAACTCATCAAAATTGCTTCATGCCTAGGTCTCAAGCCTCAGTTGCCTTGTCTTGAAAAAGAAGCAAATAGCCCTTACTTCCTTTTCTATCCTTCCTAGGTTTTGATTTTGGAGGATGTACTGCTCCGGCTTGATTTCTAATGAGTGACTTGAGGAAACAGAATTGCAAGAAGCACTGCCACACAGGGTCACCCTAGGATTCTACCTCTGGCAGAATGCCCCAAGACTGGGTCTAGAGGAAGCCATGTCAGTCCCACATAGTCTGGAAACAGAGAGTTCTGCACACATCAATGTAAAGGATGTTTATGTTGTTCTGTGTAATAACATGGAAAGATATTTGCATGATACTGTCAAGTGCAAAAGCAAGGTACAAAAAATTCATCTTCAACAAAAGTCATGTGCACCTGAGAATTCCTAGGAGCAGGAAGGAACCATGAAGGGATGCCAGTAGGGGTTTCTCAGAATAATGGGATAAGGAGTGAACCAAAAAATGCTTTTCCAGATTTTTATGTTTCCTGTG